TCTTAGCTATATAGTTTAAATCAACCACTACTCAACAAGAAAATAACATAGCTTGGGAATACAAACATGGCAGGAAGAGGCTAACCTTTAGCCAAAGTTGCAGAGCAAAATGTAGCAATAGTAGTAACCGGCGAGACAACATATGTGATACTAGAAGCAAGACATTCTTCTCGAATCCTATTTGCTAAAGTGAATGTTTTGTAAGACATGCTCATAAAAGGTAAATCTTTATATTTAAGATTATGCAGGTGTGACAACACAACATGTAAAACAAATCAGCTCTGATCACTATCATACTGCTCTAAAGCTCCTGAAGCTTTAATTCCAAATCATCAACAATTGATCGCAAACTAATCAGTAGACCAATGTATATCATCATAGCATCATCATAAGCGCAAATTCAACAAGTTAATGGGTGAATTTTAAGCTCAAAGAGCCAAAATCAAGTGTGATTGATCCAAATTCATCAAATCTGAATCAACGATACATGCAAACGAGGCGAGAGCAGCGAACCTGGGCTTGATCGGCGAGATGAACGACACGCCGGCCAACGGGAAGAGGAGACTCGTAGGTGAAAGAGTGATTGCTTGACTCCGATCTCATATAACGAGAGAGAACACGGCCATCGACGGTGAGACCGGCGATTGCAACGCCTATATGGTCATCGACTTTGAAGATTTTCCTCTGATGTGAAGAGACCTCCGATTGGGCTTTGTTAACACAAGCGAGTACGACATGGTTGCGAGATCTGAGACCAATTGCAACAGAGCCTTGCTTCACTGCTTCCATGGCGTATTCGACCTGTAGGGCTCCATGTCGTAACATCTGTGTCGACCTGTAGCCAACGGCAACATGCACGAGGAAGATCACGGCGAAGAACAGCGTTGATTCGTCGGCTCAAGCGCCACGAATCGCCTCAGAGAAGAAAAAACCAGAGAGAAAAAAATTTTCCGACCAAATGATTTTTTCTCGCGTGTTTGGGCAAAAAAAAAAGTGCCGATCCAATATATGTTCGACATGTGTCCCGCTGAGACGACTCAATAGACTCAACAGGCTGAGACGAATCAAGCCCACAAATCAATCGGCTCAATTTTTTTAATCGATTTTAATATCTGATACCTACTAAATTTCATAGATAGATATAGATAATGATGTTCTTAGTTTGACAACGATAATCTTTGTTTTTTTAAA